GGTAGAGTACTCTGGATATAGGATTTCCCCCCATAATCTTGTATAATGCACTGTTTACAATCTGCAGTATTCATAAATTGGACATGGCCAAATTAGAGATGTCTGATATACTCTTACAAAGTATTCGGAAACTTCAGCTATATTCCCCAAAAGATCTGATTTTAAACTATAAAAATCAAAACTTCATATAAAAGCGTAACAGATTTAACAGACATCTTTGAAAAAAATTAAATTGTAACTCAATTTTCTAATTTTTCAAATATGACTAAGAAAAAAATTTACAAGTATTAACGTCTATTTTTAAAAAAAGAACTATTAACTGGGTGAATTTTGGGGGAAAAAAGCTATACAGTATTATTGCACTCCATGAATGTGCAGAATTCCAGAATGTGCCAGCACTGAACCACTATCTTGCATTGAGGTTTTCCAAGAGGTACAACGCGCCTGCCAAGGAAGCATCTGGTCTGTACTAACAGCTTGCTGTCTTCAGTACAGGCCTTCATGATGTCAGTCACGCTGCTCTTGCAAAAATCCCTTAATGTCTGAAAAATACACACAAAAAAGAATATTTCAAAAATTACTCTTTTAAAAACTATTTTAGAAAGTCAACTCATGGATCAGAGAAAAACTGAAAACAACCAAGCTATGCAAAAGTAACTAGTACCCATTTTTTCACGTTCACACACTGGCTTCTGAAGTTTCTATATTGAGCATGTTAAAAGAATTTTTTAAAAATAGAATTTGCACTTCTAGGAACTAATTATTTGACGGTAAGGAGAAAATATGTATACATACACTCTAGCATGTATCAACTCTGGCTCTTAAGTAAAAAACAAGGATATTACAGGCCTAATTATCAACCCTGAAGATAAAATTGTTAACAAACTTCAGTTCATTTTGGCAGGCCCTATCTATCTTGGCACGTTTATAAATTTGTATCCGTTTAACTTCTAATTGGAAAATCAAGTAAATACATGTGCTATCAACTAACTTGCTGATTCTTGATCAGAATTAACAGAAATCTAAACATAGCTTTTGTATTAACTACTTACAAAAGAGTTTTCAGTGCTGATAAGTGGGGCTATGATCGATGATGTGGGATTGAATCCATATGCACATTGAGCTTCATTTCATTGTCAAGAATTTGAACAAGTTGCTGCATGGATGGAAGGTGACCAGATTCCAACTTAGACCATACAGGCACATCTACAAGAAAATACATGACAGCCCCCCCAACAAAATTAAAGACGATTCTGTAATAGACATTCATTCCACAAATATTTACTGAGTATCGATGTACACACTGAGGATACAAAAGTGGGCAAAGGAATACAGATTCTCGCTCTTACAGAGTTTATTATACACTGTAATGGGGAAATACCAAAGAACTACATAAAAAGCTACAATTATGCTCTAGAATTAAAACTAGTGCTAAGGTGTTATGAGAGGCCTATACATAAGCCTCCACTGCCAATTAGACAGAGAAGTCATGTCATTTAAATTGAGATCTAGAAAAAGTACCATGTACAGTGGTGGTTCTCGGGAGGAGAAAGCCTTTGAGGCAGAGAGCATACTAGCATGAAGTCTGGAAAGGAGCGTGAAACATTAAAGTGACAGAATCTGGACAGAAAGTAGTCAGTGGTACAAGGAAGCTGCAAAGTACAGAGGGACTAGACTGGGGTCCACAAACTGTAATGGACCAGAATTTCCGGCTAGCGAAGACTGTCTGCCACAGCTATTCAACTTATAGTCAAAAAGTAGCTGTAGAAAATATATAAATGAATGAGTCTGGTTGTGTTCCAATTAAACTTTATGGGCCAGCCGATGGTTAAGGCAGCTGAAGCCTACATGAGCCAACTTTGTGGTTCATGTTCTGGACCCAGCGGCTTGAAAAACACTGGACACAGCAGCTTGAAAAACACCAGGTGCTTGTGTGTGCACACCCAAAATCTCAAGAGGAGCATGGAGGGGACTTGCAGTGCGGCCATTTCCCCTGGGAAGGGAGTTCTCACCCCTCTCCCACCTGATCTCTGTCTCTCCAGCGAGCACACACAACCTATAGCAAAACTGGAAGAAAAAAAGTTTATTTCAGGCTCCTAGATATAACACTTAGAAGAGATAGCCCTCTAGAACTATACATTCAAGAATCATCATTTTTAAAGCCATGAGAGTAGATGAGGACCACAGAGAAGATTTATCACAGGAAAGCCAACATCAAAGAATTCCAGAATGTGAAAAGCATGTAGAGGTAAAGTCAGGATAAGGTGAAACTGTCTAAATTCTTCTACTTCTCATATTTTAAAATTTATTTCAAATAAACATCTTTCACACGAATATTCAATTTCTTCTATGAAAAACAGAAAAGCCTGAGGCTCATTATAAATTATTTACAGTTTGCCACAAGAGGTAAACCACTCAGAACCTACCATTTAAAGTTATCTCAAATGCACCTGTTGACATACACTGGTTCTCAATCATGTTGCTCAGGAAGAAAACCATCATACATGCATAGACCTAAAAGAAAACAGAATTAAGGACAACTGTCATTTTGAAATCAAACATGACAATTTAAGCCACTGGGTTTTTGTTTTTGAATATAGAGCCTCACTCTTTGTTAAATGCTCTTTTTAAATCCACTGTAAAGGTTCTATACAAGCTATTACTGCTATCCCATATGTTCAGGTAACACATGCAGAATGAGAAAAATGGCAGTATGAATTCACAGCTCCATACACAGAGAAGAACTTATATGTGATATTCATAATGTAAACAGAATTTCTAGATGACCTCTTAACAAGTTAAACATGAGAATACCTGCATAAAAAGGGTTCATTTTACATTTTTATAATTTATGAATTCCTAAGAGACTAGTGATGCAACAATCAGCAACTACATGTATTCAATACAACCTGTTCACATTCCAAACAAATCATTTTGAGTCAAACTAACCTAGATTAAAAATCGGTGGCATATTAAGGTATATTCATCCACCATTTGAAGGCAAATCTATACTGTCCCAAAAGAGACTAGAAGCTCCTTGATGAACAGAAAGGTTTTATTTTATCAAAAGCACCGAACTAGAAGTAGAATGTAATGAGAATGCCAACTCACAGTGAACTGCCTCAGAAATGAAGCAAATGTTCACAGCAGATGAGAAACAGCTTTCCCTCCTGAGCTACACAAGATTTTATTTCAGAGGGATAATCCTAGCACTGGAAACCTAAGTCTACCCTCACTTGAACAGTACTCAGGAACTGTGTGGCGCTATAGCTTCCAGTACATTTCTCTTCCACAGTAGATCTATAGTACACATGTTTATGAAGTAAAATCCACTGAAGTTAATTTGAAATCAATTAATAAATGTAACACAAAACAGAAGTCAACAAGTGGCATCGCTGTTAAGGTGCTGGAGTCCCACATGGCTAACAGGGGTTCAAGTCCCGAACCTGGCAATGTGAAAACCAAGCTGGACACATGTGAGTGAGTGCATGCTCAAAATCCCAAGAAGGAAAGAGAGGAAAAAAGATTGCCATGTGGCAACCTCCTGGGGGGTGAGGGGGAGTGATTTCTCACTTTCCCTCTCACAGTCTCTTTCTCTCTCTTTCTCTGTCATGTGCCCTATGGCAAAAAACTTTTAAAAAACACACACGCAAAAGGTTAACAATAAGTACTCAACTTCCAATCCTTAATTCCTTACAAATCAACATCTTGTTAATAACAGGGTAGAGACACACTTCAATTAGAGATAGCACCTGAGGATGTTTACATTAAAAAGTCTTGTCTGTTATTAGAAATAAATGGTCCCCCCCACCCCCCGCCAAAAAAAAAGTGCACCTCATGTAGGTGTCTGCTAAAGGCCATCTCACCCTGAAACTAAACAAGACCAGATGGGGCTCCAAAAGAGAATACTCAATAGGAGGAAGCCCAAGCAATCCCACTGACCGGAGATAAAACTTCAGACCCATCTGACAGAACAGTAGATGCCGCAGAAAAAAATGTGCAGTAAAACAGATGAAAATAAGAGTGGTCTAGAGGGGCTGGCAGGTGGCGGTGATTAAAGACATTGGACTCCCGTGTAGTTGACTAAGGTTCAAGTTTCAGACCTGGCAGCTCGCTTTCTCACTTTCTCTCTCTGTCTTTCTCTAGTCAAATTAAAACAAATAATAATAATAATAAATAAAGTTAAATAAATAATTCCTTTAAAAGAAAAAGCAGTGTTCTAGAAAGAATGTATGCCACGGAAAGACCCTACAAAGAGGGGGGGAAAGGCACAAGATTCTTCAGCATATTTATTTTGATTCTTTTAGGGAGTTTGTCAAAGAGATCCCACTGAACAGAAAAGTTAAAGAACAAATAACTAGAGAGGAGTTTTGATAAAATGAATGGAAACACCTCTTTAATGTGAATTTACCATTAACACCACATTAGTATAAAAGGCTTATATTATAAATGCATTATGCTTTGTTGTTCATTATTTGACATAAGTTAAACATAGAAAATCAGGTAAAAAATTATTCTCTGCCCATAGCCTACTAAATATTTCCCTATCCCTCAAGAGTAGAAAGCTAAGATCTAATCATTCTTATTATGGAAACTAATGTTAAAGGGACTTACCCGGAGATTCAAAAGTGATATAATTTGAAATACATATAAACAAGGGAATTAGTAAAAAGTATTTAAAAATCCTTTAAAATCTTTGCATTGACAACCTAAAAACCTAGAGTTACCAAAGCCAGTAAGTGACATACCTTATTTTCTTGGCCCCACTGCCAGATGCTAGGAGCTTGCATGCCAAAGAAAGCAAAAGGATCCTTGCCCACAATTATTAAGCCTATTAATACTAATTTGAAGACTGACAGGAAAGATGCTATGTGTCTGTCAAAAGAAGAGAAACAAATACATCAAAAGCCACAATTTTTCATTTGCTTTTAAAATTTGATAATTCAAGTATGTGAATTCATATATCTATCTATCTATCTATCTATCTATCTATATGTATAATATACACATTTTCTATAAAGAAAATCTAAAACATACTACATGTAGAACAGATAGCAACTAAAGTTTATTGTGCAATTTTACATCAATCAAAAAATTTAACATAAGATCATATGGAATATCATTATTTTAAGTTAGTATAGAATTTAATACCACTGACTTTCTTTTTTGTTTGTGTTTGTTTTTAATTTGCCAGAGAGCTCATATACCTGCTGGATAAAGACCGAGAGATGGAAAGCAAGAAAGTACCTACCATGGGGAATGGTCAGATTGCAATCGCTTCTCCTCCATTCCTTCCTACTTTGGGGATTTGGGGCACAAAAAACGTGCGCCCAACCTGATTTTCAAGCCACCCGGTTCAGGACTTTACAGTCACCTAAGTGGGACCCAGTCGCCTTAACTACTAGGCTGTCAGCTGAACCAATACCACTGACTTTCTATAAAAATTTAGGAGTTCTTGGTCTGTTTTCACCTCTAAAATGACCCTATTTATTCTTATAGAAAAAAGCTTTCTAAATTTGAGCCAAACAAACTTGCTATTTATAAAGCAGTATTGTTTTTAAAACCTTGTAAAGCAACTGAATTGTTTCCTTTTCCATTACTGAAATTTACTTACCTATATATTGGCTGAGGAAGGTAATTCTCTCCTTCAATGCGGATGTCTGGGTACCGCTGGCTGATAACCCGCATGTACTCCTCAAACACCCGCCTATATCCTCAGGAAACACTGCAGAAAGATTAAAATGTTTCCATTAAGTTGTTTAGAATGTACCAAGATTTATTTCAGTTAGGCAAAGCCTAAAAATTGTTACCTAGATTAAAATGTTTTTTCAAGATCAGTCACAAATCAGTAATTATTTACCAAGATGACCAATATGTAGAGATTTTTTATAAATCTCACATATTTAGATGACCTTCCATTCAAATAAATCCTTCCATTAAAACATTGGCCTTTGCAGGTATTGGACAAGAGCAAACATGGGGGGTCTTCAAAGAGTTCATGAAAAATGTATTATGAGAAAAATATGCTTGGATTTCAGAAGTTTTTTGCACAGTACTCGTTCTTTAATTGCATTTTTCATGAAATTCTTGAAATGCAATCTTTTCTCCTCCATTTCTCCATCCTGCTGGGATTTGGAGCATGTGCATACACACACACACACGCACACACACACGGCCCAAGGTTATTTTTCAAGTTGTGGGGGTTGAGATTCCAACTTAATGATCAGTGTAGGTTCTGGCTCACTAAATATTAGGCCATGGGGCCAGTCCAGATGGCAGCGTTATCTTGAGGTCTCAAGTTGATTTTACTTTTTTTTTCTTTTTTTGGGGTGATGATGGCTTGCATAAACACTCAAATGGAAAAAGTTCTTATTCACATGAAATGAGGACTTTCAAATTTGGGACAAAAGAGGAATGCTTAAAATAAAAAAAAAAAAAAAGGGACCGGCGAGTGGCATGGTAGTTAAGGACGTTGGACTACCATGTGGCCAACTGTGGTTCGAGTCCCAGACCTGGTGGTTTGCTTTATCACTCTCTCCCAGTATATCTCTCTCACTCTTGTTCTCACTCTGTCCCTCTCTGGTCAAATTAAAAATAAATAAATAAAGTTGAATAAAATAATTCTAAAAAAAAAAAACAAGAGGCCAGCAGATAGCATAGTGGTTACATTGTTGGACTTGCTTGCAGTTCAAGTCCAGGACCCGGTGGCTTGAAAAATCACATGGGTACGTGCGTGTCCATGCCCAAAACCCCGAGAGGAGAATGGAGGAGAAGGGATTGCAGAGTAGTCATCCCCCCAGGGGATGATTTCTCATTTTCCCTCTCACTGTCTGTCTCTCCCCAACAGTGCACATGACCTAAGGTAAAAAAAAAACTCTTAAACAAAAAAAACCATGAAGCTCTTATTCTTACTGCCACTCTTCCATCACTGAGCAAACTTGTTCATTTCATCACAGTAAGAACTTAAACTCTTAAATCCCTTTTAATTCGAAAATTTGATTCCACTTTGCAAATGAAAATGAAGACTGGGAAGATAATTTCTGGCACTATGATAGAAAATCCTAATCCCTTCCGTGGAAAGTCAGCCTCACCCTATCTTCTCCATTAAATTCTCTGAACAACTCTCCTTCAGCAAGAAAAGAAAAACATACCACCAGAATGCATCTACAGAGGAAAAAGGTGGCACCACCATACCCACAGTAGAACCTATAAATCAATATACAAGTGTTACTGAAGTGCCTTTACTATGTTCTAAGCTAGGGAGCACACACAGACCATCAAGCAATGACGGTGCCATATGGTGCAGAAGCGGTAGGGTCAGTAATTGAGTTACAGTGGAGTAAAAGGTGCCAGCTTTGTCAATCAAGACAAAACAATACCAACCACCACCGTCAACTAAGAACAGAACAGTTTATACCTGATAGTACAAAACAGTCCAAATATTAATAAATTTTAATTTCTTTTTGAGAGGTTTTCGCTATAGGGCGCGTGAGCTTGCCAGACAGACAGAGACAGACATAGAGACAGAAAGCGAGAAGTCACCCCCCAGGGGGGATGGTCACGCTGCAATCCCTTCTCCTCCATTCTCCTCTCGGGATCTTGGGCAAGCACGCACACATGCCCGGCATGAGTTCTAAGCCACCGGGTCCGGGATGTGAACCGCGGTCGACTACATGGGAATCCAGCGACACAGCCATTATGCTAACTGCTGGTTCCCAATAAATTTTAATTTAAGAAAAACTTTTCAAAAGAAGAAAAAAGGGAGAAATTCACCAGTTTTTTTTTTACAATAAATATTTCTTTGACATTTAGGATGACATTTTTACAAAAGACTGAAGTGTGAAGTTTTTCAAAGCTCTATAGTTAAACAGTTAAGTGAACTTATGAATCTCCAGATATTCTATCTTAATTTAACATCTATCTCTTGCTATTTTACTATTGCCATTGATCAATTTTATAGTCTTTCCCATCAACATTTGAGTTCATATTACTAATATGATTTCAAAATTACAGAAGAGTTGTATGAATAGCATAAAGATCTTATATAAACACGCTGCCTAGATTCATCAAGTGTTAGTATTCTGCAAGTCTGTAAGAAATGTTTAATGTTGCTTTTGTTCTGAAGATAGAACAACAACAAAAAAATCTAGATAACCTAGAAGCTTTTTTTTAAGAAAGATTTTTGTTATAGGGTGTGTGCACTAGCCAGAGAGTAAAGAGAGATAAAGATACAGAAAGTGAGAAATCACCCCTCAGAGGGTGCTTTCCTTCTCCATTCTCCTCTCGGGACTTTGGGTACACATGTACACACATCCGGCATGAGTTTCAAGTCACCAAGTCCAGGACTCAAACTGCGGTCGACTACGTGGGAGTCCAGTGATACAACCTAACCATTATGCCACCTGCTGGTCCCTAAGCCTATCTTAAAAGCAGAAAATGTCAACAGATTTATGACCAAGTTTGCAATGGTACTGTTAATGGAATTAATTATCTAAAATAACAGTATTTAACTTTTATTACAATATTGAGAGACTTAGCTAATTAAATAGAAATTCCTTTTCCACAGCTGAAGGAAAAAATAAATCCAGAAAGATTAAGTGACATTTCTTTTTATTTTTATTTATTTATTTTTTTGAGAGGTTTCTGCCATAGGGTGTGTGCACTCACCAGAAAGACAGAGACAGAAATAGAAAGCAAGAAATCACCCCGCAGGGGGATGATCACACAGCAATCCCTTCTCCTCCATTCTCCTCTCGGGATCTTGGGCACATACGCACCTGGCGTGAGTTTAAGTCACCGCATCCAAGACTCGAACCATGGTCAAACACATGGGAGTCTGGTGGCTAAAAGGACCCACATGACTGATCATGCAGTTCAAAACACAATGGGTGCATACGTGCATGCTCTGAACTCCTGAAAGGATGGAGAAATGGAGGAGGAGGTACAACCATGGAGGTGCTCTGTCCTCCCTCTGTATCTCTCTGGAGGACGCTTGTACCTTCTGGCAAATTTAAAACAAACAAACAAACAAAAGATAAGCAAAAAAAGATGCACATAACCAAACTAAGTTGATTAAAATAACAAAAGCTAAACCGTTGGGGTTGATGCAAATTTTAACAAAATTGGTCTTTTAACTAAGGATAAAAGAGATGAACAAAACAGGCTTATCACTTCCAGTTTTTATTTCTCTTCTAACTTACCCAACAGGGAAGCAATATTAAAATGCATTAAATATCTATGTCCTAAAACAAAATACCTTGCTAGCTGTGTTCTTATTTAACCTTCAAGACAATCCTATGAAGCTTTATCTTCCCCACTTTGAGACTGAGCACTGCTAATGGTCATATGGTTAGCAGGTGGCAAAGAGGGGGGATGGTCACGCTGCAATCCCTTCTCCTCCATTCTCCTCTCGGGATCTTGGGCAAGCACGCACACATGCCCGGCATGAGTTCTAAGCCACCGGGTCCGGGATGTGAACCGCGGTCGACTACATGGGAATCCAGCGACACAGCCATTATGCTAACTGCTGGTTCCCAATAAATTTTAATTTAAGAAAAACTTTTCAAAAGAAGAAAAAAGGGAGAAATTCACCAGTTTTTTTTTTACAATAAATATTTCTTTGACATTTAGGATGACATTTTTACAAAAGACTGAAGTGTGAAGTTTTTCAAAGCTCTATAGTTAAACAGTTAAGTGAACTTATGAATCTCCAGATATTCTATCTTAATTTAACATCTATCTCTTGCTATTTTACTATTGCCATTGATCAATTTTATAGTCTTTCCCATCAACATTTGAGTTCATATTACTAATATGATTTCAAAATTACAGAAGAGTTGTATGAATAGCATAAAGATCTTATATAAACACGCTGCCTAGATTCATCAAGTGTTAGTATTCTGCAAGTCTGTAAGAAATGTTTAATGTTGCTTTTGTTCTGAAGATAGAACAACAACAAAAAAATCTAGATAACCTAGAAGCTTTTTTTTAAGAAAGATTTTTGTTATAGGGTGTGTGCACTAGCCAGAGAGTAAAGAGAGATAAAGATACAGAAAGTGAGAAATCACCCCTCAGAGGGTGCTTTCCTTCTCCATTCTCCTCTCGGGACTTTGGGTACACATGTACACACATCCGGCATGAGTTTCAAGTCACCAAGTCCAGGACTCAAACTGCGGTCGACTACGTGGGAGTCCAGTGATACAACCTAACCATTATGCCACCTGCTGGTCCCTAAGCCTATCTTAAAAGCAGAAAATGTCAACAGATTTATGACCAAGTTTGCAATGGTACTGTTAATGGAATTAATTATCTAAAATAACAGTATTTAACTTTTATTACAATATTGAGAGACTTAGCTAATTAAATAGAAATTCCTTTTCCACAGCTGAAGGAAAAAATAAATCCAGAAAGATTAAGTGACATTTCTTTTTATTTTTATTTATTTATTTTTTTGAGAGGTTTCTGCCATAGGGTGTGTGCACTCACCAGAAAGACAGAGACAGAAATAGAAAGCAAGAAATCACCCCGCAGGGGGATGATCACACAGCAATCCCTTCTCCTCCATTCTCCTCTCGGGATCTTGGGCACATACGCACCTGGCGTGAGTTTAAGTCACCGCATCCAAGACTCGAACCATGGTCAAACACATGGGAGTCTGGTGGCTAAAAGGACCCACATGACTGATCATGCAGTTCAAAACACAATGGGTGCATACGTGCATGCTCT